TTTTAGAAGGTGTTCTTTGACTCCATCTGTAAGAATATTGTTAAGTTAAAATTTTTTGAAAGATGTCTTTTGACCCATTTGGTAAAAATAATGTTAGGTTAAAATTTTAAAAAGTATCTTTCCAGACATTTATTAAAACTAGTGTCAAATTAAAACTTTAAAAGGTATCTTTTCAGACATTTATTAAAACTGGTGTCAAATTAAAACTTTAAAAGGTATCTTTTCAGACATTTATTAAAACTGGTGTCAAATTAAAACTTTAAAAGGTATTTTTTCAGACATTTATTAAAACTAGTGTCAAATTAAAGCTTTAAAAGGTGTTTTTTCACACATTTGATAGAAATGGTATCAAATTAAAATTTTAAAATGTACCTTAAAAAATGTCTTTTGACTACTTTGGTAAGGATATTGTTAATCTAAAATTTTAAAATAAATCAATATATAAATAAAATTTTGATATATTTCGTAAAAGTAGTGGAAATTCGATAGATCAGTGGAAAAATCACAACGACGATAATAGAGCCGAATGTAAATTAAAGGTAGGATTAAGACGACTTTATTGGCTGTGTTTATGTAACCGAACGTAGGCGTTAACCATCAAGCGTCCTTGCAAGAGAGTCGAAGATGTTTCATGGCATGGATAGTTTAGTTAATTGATACGTTAATCGGATCGTAGAATTGGTTTCATCCATATATCCGTGGACGGAAGCTGCTCGCGATTGTCGTGAGATTATTCTAACTATGTGTATAGTTGAAGCAATCTAGTTGAACGGACGCAGTCGTTTGTCAGACACTGGATATCCGGTTATTTTGAGAAAAACATCATTTGCGAACAGATCAAACAGCTGAGACGGGTTTCAAAATACTGGAATCATCGTTTTGTGAAATATTTTTCCATAACTGATGTTTTCTTTTTACAACCACGGCTGAAAATTTGCATCACGAAGATTGTTTCTGACGCAAACATGTGAGTCAAAGCCAATAAATTATGTTTTACGCGATCGATCATTCGTTCATACGTGTTTATTCGAGCTGCAGTACAAAAAGATTATAATATCGTCTAAAAATACATGGAGTTACTGAAATAGAACTCTTCGAAAGTAGAAGTTTACAATTTTCATTAAATCTATAAAAATTTGTATAACGTTTATGAAGATCTGTATCCATTTTTTCAAAACAAGTCTCCAAACTGAATGTCTTTTCGTTCATTTTCGCTCCATTTTCTTCTTCTAAATATTTATAATATTTATATACTGTTTATTTACTGGTCAAACAATTTTATAAATCTTGATGGAAAATAATCCGCATAACGGATATCATTTATACCGTATATTTTATGTGATCTGAAGCGTATTCTGAATATTTATAGCTAGTTGTTAAGATCTCATACAGAGAAGACGTCCGTCGTTTCGTATATTGTTTTTATGTCGTTCCATATTGTACTTTTTGTACTTTTTGTACCTTAACAAATCCTCGGACTAGATATTGATAGCAAACTACATATTATCAACGATACTGCGATGTTCGTCAAATCAGAAAAATGTAAGAATACACAAATAATGGGAATAATTTAGAACTATATTCATTTATAATTAAAACTCATCAATGAGCATTCATAACTAAAGGATCCCTAAATTATCGTTAATCGATTCTAGGTAGCTTTATCAATTGTATAATGATTGATCGTATGTATAATTTAATTCACTGTGATATTCAACCGTATAATTTATTTCACTGTGATATTCAATCATATAATATAATTTATTACATTCAATTATATAATTCAATTCGGTGA